GCCTGCTGTAGGGGAGCCGTGTCCTGGGAAAGAGGATCTACCAATATGGGAATAGATAACCATGCCCCATTCACACAGGGGCTGGAGGTTGGCTCCCTGCGGAAGATTTTGTAGACCCTTAATCCTACAGACCCTTCACACAGGAAGCTAAACTGGACGTGGCCTAACTCTCCTTCCTAAAGGCCTTTTGCAGTGAAGCTTCATACTTGACATAATCATCAAATTCTATTTTTTATGATGGTTTATTGTTCTGATTTTTCAAATACCAAATCTCTTTTATTAACCTGTCCTTCCCACCCCCAACCCATTAAACACATTTTTTTAGACCTGAACAACAAATCCCTCCACATATATCTGCATGATCCAGCAAAGCAAACTCCCACATTAGCCACACCTGGAGCCGTGTGCCGTCTGGGCCATTTAAGTTCATCCTCTTTGTGACAGAAGGTGACTGGTGTTTCATCTTCATTCTTTTGGCCTCCTGATTTATCATTGCATTGACCAGAGTGCCAGCGGCTGTTCGTGCTGTTTTTCTCTATAGTATTGCTGCGTTGCATAAATCATTCTGCCTTTGTTCTGCATCAGTTCGTCATGGTCTTCCTGGTTTCCTCTGAAATTGTCCATTTTGTCATTTCTTATGGCACAATAATATTCCATTATACTGTGTGCATCATTGGTTTAGCCATTCTCCAATGGGACACTCCCTTAGTTTCTAACTTTTGACTACCACAAGAGTTGCACTTATCCAGATGAGTCTTTTCCTTCTTTGTTTGATTCCCCTGGAGGGTCATCTTATAAATTCAAATCAAATCAGTTCTTTATATATCTTGGAAATAGCCCTTTGTCAGGGAGACTTTTTGCAAAGATTTTTTCCTCAGTTACTCGTTTCTCTTCTGGCACCCTGATGGCAGCATGTAGGACAGCAGCCACTGCCAGCGGTGAAGGAGGCCACAGAAAAACACAAGAGCTCAACCCCCACAGGTCAGAGGTCATTTGGGCATCAGGGATGGGGTGTTGGACCTGGGTACAGGCCCCACCTCTGACACTAGTTGTGTGACCAAGGTCAAGTAGTGGAAATCTGAGCCTCATTTTCTTTGGCGTAAGATGGGGGTGATGCCATCTGTAACTCTTTCCTCATGGGGTTGTTATAGAGTCAAATGCAATGATGGAAGGAAAGAATTTTGCAAACTTTAAAAGCCGATATAGGGCAGCATTGCTCTCTAAATCCCTGTGACTTCAAGGGCATCTCTGTTTTCCGTACTTTATAGTTCCACTCCAAGACATCATCCTCATCAAAATGTTCCCATGTCTGCTGTGGTGCTTGGAGGTTTCTGAAGGCCTTGTGAAGTAGGTCATCAGACTCATTTGCATTCTGTCCTGTAGCCAACGTTTGAGAAGTCATGGAACCAGATCATAAATTTTAGAAAGATTCCCATTGAAACTGGCTAGGATAAAAGTTTAGACCCTTAAGAAGACTGACCTGGATCATGCACTTGTTTCCATGGGGTGCGCCTTCCCTGAGTTGACGCATGACACACTGCAGTTGTAGGAGATGTTTGGGTTAAAACAAAAGAGCTGAAGGTCCTCTGGGGTTGGATGAGCACGAAGGATGAGGCCTGAGGTGCAGGGGGTGGAGCAATGGCGCTGCTGTCCGCCACCTTTATCAGACTTCTCTGGGAGTGGAGCAGTGTGGTTGGCTTTACACGCCACATTTTAGGAAGGATGTTACCAAGAGGAGTTTCCAGAGCCTGGCTGGGAAGGAGAAACTCAAAACCAGATCCAGTGAGGAGCGGTAGAGGAAAGCAGGGCCTGGGTGCCAGCCCTCCCCTATGTCCCTCCTAGCATCTGCCCTGGCTGCCCCCAATGCCTGGAATGCTCCTGCTCCCCGTCTCGGCCTCCTGGCTTCCCTGATCACCATCAGCTTCCAGCTAAAACGCCACCATCTTTGGGAGCCTTTCCCATGGCCCTCCAGGCCGGTGACTTCCCTCTGCTGACTGTTTCCATTTGTCCTGTCTCTGTATTGTGTGGTATATAGTTGTCTGCATTTCCTCTCCCTGTTAGACTGGGCGCTCCTCAAGTGCAGGGACCGTTTTTTGCCCTACTTTGTATCCCCAGCACTTAGTAGAGTGCCTAGCATACAGCAGGTGTTTAATAAATGCTCAGTGAACCCTAAGTCCTCTCTTTAAACACTTGAAGGCTTGTCCTTTGGAAGAAAAATTCATTCAATTTGTCCTCCTTAGTCCCAGAGGTCAAAACCTGGGGCCAGTGAGGGGAAGTTCCAGGGAGGAGGCAGGTTTGGGGCCTGATTGAATGAGAATGAGTCGCCACCCTCAGCTGTCCAGTAATGGACTGGGATGTCCTGGGAGAGGAAAAGCGCTCCTATGCCTCACAGCAGCCCTGTGCTGAGAGATGGGCACGGTTACCGTCTGCCGAATTATCATTTCATTTTACTCCTCTGCTTCAAGGTTCTGGCATTCCACTGATGTGGGCATGCGCTCCATCGGAGCTGATTGCAGCCCCTCAGTTACTGCATGATCTTCCAACCATCGAGCCATCAACAAGGATTTATTGAGCACCTACTGTGTGCTAGGTGCTGGGGAGACAAAGAAAGGCCTCAATTTTCATGCTGTATGGCCAGTCAGGTGCAGAAGCTTGGCACACTTACTTAGGTCAGCAGCCAGTCAGGGAATACACAGTTAGACCCTGGGGCCTCCCAAGAAGCCTTTCTCCTTTGGCAGGACCTCCCAGAGCCTGGCTTTGCTGGCAGAACTATGGAGACCCCAGGGTAACCTCCCTCCATGGTGGGCCTTTCAGCACAGAGACAGAAAATAAGTTTGCTAAAGAGAAAATCCTGAATGTCTTTAAATCTGTAGTGACTCTGGTACAAATGTACAAATTCAAGTATGTAAATTTTTTAAATATTCATTATCTACATAATGATTCTGCAGTTAGCTGAGATGAAAGTGCACAGCCACCCAAATGCAGGATTTCCTTTGCTATCCTAACACACACATGCACACCTAGTGAGTGTACTTTTAACTCAACCATAAATTAGAATCAATCAAGACCTTCTCTCTTAATTGATAAGAAACAACTTTAGATGGCAGGCAGAAAAGTCATCATGTTTCAATTCATTTCTTCTTCGTAAGGAACCACCCTCACCCCTACCCCACTACTGGAGGTGTTGACCGAAGGGCCTCAGTCCTTACCTGGGGAGTCTGAGTGGCCACCGAGACCAAGAATGGCATAGTTGGCACACTCCAGTAGGGCATGGGCTGCCCTTTTACAGCATGTTTGTGTGCAATGAATGACTTTGACTGCTATCACTCCCTCCCTCTGCAAAGCCTAAAGCTCACCGCATCCCTAGGAGGGCTTTGGAGGGAGGAGGGGACCTGCTCGTGATGAGGTGTCCCATTCTAACAGCAGCAACAATAATTCCCAACAGTTGTTTGGGAAGATACTGAGTGAGAAAGAAAACACCCCTTGTTTCAATTCCTCTCTTCAATTACTCCTAATATCGGCCCCTGCTCCAGAGCCTGGCCAGCCTGCCGTTACACAGGTTAACATACAACACCACGGATATACAAGGAATAACCGTTAACATCCCTCTCCTGCCCCCATTAGGCAGCAAGGTTCATGAGGGCCTAGACCATGTTCTAGCTTCTATTTTCTCTAAACCCTAGCACCGTGCCTCACACATAGTAGCCCCTAAATGGCGGGTGAATGAACGAATCAAAGCATTTTTTGACCACCTGCTCTGTGTAAGGCACCGTGCAAAATGCTAAGGACTCAGAGAAAAGACAAAAACATTCCCTTCCCTTAAGAGGCTTACAGTTTACTGGGGGAAGGAAGGATGCAAAATACTGTTTTGTAGCCAGTATTGAATAAATATTTGTTAAAGTTTAGATACTTGAATTGAGGTATTTGTACCATTGCAGGTAAAGATGAAAATTCATTTGCAGCATGTAGAATTTCTGAAGCTTATGTAATGAATCATATCATCCAGTATATGTGTATTTGTTTTGAAAAATCACCTGGATGGGTTCTCATGGCTGTGTCCAAACTAATAGAGATTTGAGGAATTCTCTTTCCTGTTAGAAGAAAGGCTAAAACACGTTGAGAGTGAGCCATCTAATGGCAGCTCACAATTCCTTCGTTCTTAATAATAAAAAACAGAAAAGTCAAACTGACCCGGCTGGCACAGCTGTCAACATGAAGGAGCTTTTCAAAAACTCCATTTTGCTTACAGAAAGACCCACACTACACTGGGTGTGGCCATGCCCAGTCAATGAGCTGACCGGGCTCTGCTGGGGCTGTTATGGGCACTGCCCTTAGGCAGCCGCTGCTGCTACTGCTGCAGCTGCTGCTGTCGGAGCCCTTCCCCAGCTGCCTGGTGTGAGGGGCGGGGAGAGGTACCTTCAGGAGCCCGAATGACCCTTCTCCCCCTCCACAATATACTTTTAAACAGTCTCTCAATATTGCTACAAAGTGCATCAGAAAAAGGCTTCTGAAAACTCCCCATCCTCTGAGCCCCCTCTCAAGCCAATAGCCTTCTAACAACTTGGAAATTTAAATGGAGTGCTGGGGGAAAGTGCACAGTTTGACTCAACAAATCATTGCTTCGAAGCCAAGGAAGTAGGAAATTAACAAAGCAGACTGAGGTAACTCTATCATAGCCGAGCTTGAACATAGACAGGGTTCTGGACAAGCCCAGCTAACAGCCAGCCAGCAGTGACTTGGGGAGCCAACATGCTTCCTCTCCCATGGCATTTCAAGAGCCTGGCTGGTGCCAGACAGAGACAAATGACGCAGCCAGAAGAACATCCCTGTGACCCTGGGGCCGTGCACTAACATCAACAGTTCTGAAAACAACCTGAAATACTTTTGCTTGATATTGAACCTCCAGGCTGTCATTTTGACTCACCTGTCTTCTTTCTTCTCTTTCCTTCCATCTCTCTCTCTTCTTTCCTCCCTTCCTTCTCTTTCTTTCTCTCTGTCAGCACCACCAAGGGAGATGTGTTTTGCTACTACGGAAACCGAGGTGAGCAAGAGCCTATCATATTAACACCAGGTAAGTTATCTTCATAAAATGAATGTTATGAATATCGTGCTTAATTTCACACGTGTTTTATTAATGGATGACTATTCAGTAGCTTGGTAGAGAAAAAGCATTTGACTTCCTATTTCATTGTTCTCTTCTCTTGTCATTTAATTTCCTTTTTAGCAATGATAATATCTCTTGTTTATGTAGAAGTTTACATTGCACAAAGTGTCTTTAAAACCAGCAGCCAAGTATTGTTATCCCCGTTTTACAGAAGAGAAAACCGAGTCTTGTTGGGGTGAAGTGGCCTGCCCAGGGCCACAGCCAGTAAATGCCAGGGCTGGGATGTAAACTGGGGTCTCCCGACTGCAGAACTGGCTCTCCTTCTGCCCCACGCTGCCTCCCAATCAGTTTCCCTAGATGTGGCCTCCTCACTAATGGTCTCAAGCAAACTTTACTATTTCTGCCTGTTTTTAATTTTGGAACATATAGGTATTCCTTTTCCAGTTGCTTACTCAGTCCTTCAGGATTGAATGGTTGATGTACCTTTTTAAAGATGTTGTCAAAGAGATAAAAGTGTAATTGGAAAAGCAGGTGGGTGGATCACCTGATGAGAGCTCACGACCAGTGGACAGCCCGTGTGTCCACTGGCACCGGTGCCCTGAAGGCCCTCGGTGCTTTGGGTAGAACCTCTATGGTGAACTTGGGGTAGGACCCAGCCAAGGCTGCACCAGATGGACAAGTCTGAATGGCCTACATCCTGAAGCAAGGGTCACACAGATGAGACGGCAGAGCCTCGGGAGTCCTGAGTGCTGTCCGCTCCATTAGATGGCCTGAGCTCTTCTGCCTTTCCTCCTAGAGTTAATTTTCCCTCCCACTGACCATTTTTCAGTCTTTCCTGGGCACTCCAAGGAATCTTGTTCCTTTGGAGCCTCCCAAGACTCACCCTTGAGACCGTCCCTCTCCTGTTGCCATGGGGGGGGGGGGTAGCTTCCCACAGCGCGCCAGTGAAGGCACACGGTGGTCTGCCCTCATCAGACTTCTCCTGGGGCACCGTATGTGCAGGTCTCGGCACCACAATTTCCAGGCCTCGATGAGCTACAGGCTATCCCTTGGAGAGGAGCCACAGTGGGAGGGTGTGGGCCTGTGTAGCCTAGAGGAGAGAAGGCGTGGGGGGTGCTCCGTCCATCACTGTCTCGAGCAGGTGAAGCTCTGTCACTCAGAAAAAAAGGTTCTTCTTGCTCTGGTTGACCCTCGAGCGAGCGCAGAGCCAGCAGGGGCGGATTTAGGCTTGAAGTCGGAGGAAATGGCAGCACGTCAGTGTTTTCATGGAAGGTTCCTTTCGAGTACGGGCTGGACTAGATCCTGAGGGCCCCACTAGTTCCAGAAGTCTGTGCTTCTGCAGTTGGGGCATGTGATTTAAACCTTCTTAAATTTAATGTAGCAGTTATTTTTTATTGTTCAGTCATTCAAGTCACATCCAACTCTTCGTGATCCCGTGGATCATGACATGCCAGGCCCGTCTGTCCTCCGCTATCTCCCCAAGTCTGTCTAAGTTGATGGTCATTGCTTCCATGACACTCTCTGTCCATCTCAACCTCTGCTGTCACCTTCTCCTTTTGCTTTTAATCTTTCCCAACACAAATTTACCAGCCAAAAGAAAATTTAACCATTAAAATAAAGATGTTACAGCCCAGCCCTGAAAGGATTAACTCTCAGCCTTCTGGAACTTACTCCTATAAATCATCCCCCGAGTCCAAAGTTGGACTCTAGTTAGGGTTACTTTGACACCAGGCAAACAAAAGTTAAGATTTCCTGCACCCTCTGAGGAGGTCGTAGCGTTGAGGATGCCCAGGTGCCCCTAGCTGAGAGATGATCCAAGAAAGGGCCAAGGAAGAAGAAATGAGCAAGAAGGACTAAGGATTCCCTGCGAGGAGGCCCATTGACCTTGACATAAACCACAGAGAAGCCTCTGGCTTTGTGGGAGGTCCATGTCTCCAGGAGATGACAGAGACCCTCCCAAGGCTCATCCATAACTACCCACCGCTAATAATGCACATGGGACCAAAGGGTGCTGCCAAGAGGAATCTAGAAAGCTTTGCTAAGAATGAGGAGGTCTTAGACAACAAACAGGAACCTTTAAATGGATGACTTATTGTGGTACTGTCTGAGAATGGGTTTGGGATGTTTGGACCAAGGATTATCAGAGAAATGTTTTGGGCTATTGGCTAGGTAGGGAATCCACCCAACAGGAGCTAGTAAAAATTAGGTTTGCCTGGAGTCTTACAAATCTGGTCAAGAAGGCTGTAAATGATGTTGGAAGGGGAAGGGGGAAGCTGCTGACGTAGACCAAACCAAGATCTGCCATACCATGGAGCCTGGCTGCAATGGAGAAGGGAGAGCAAAGGCAGAAGACAGGGACAGGAATGCACAGAAGATGCCATCCAAGGAGGGAGCCAAGAAATCCAGCTGGGAGAAGGTGCTGCTGGAAGACAGCAGGACACAGAAGACAAGTCTCTGAAGAACTAAAAATGAGTGTTGGACAAGAGGCAGGGGAGAGAAGCACGGTGGGTAGGAGCCGGCTGCAGCGTGGAGCAGAAGAGATGTCTGGAGGAGGAGGAGCTGGCAGTGAACAGGTCCTGGCAGCCCTGGAGCCGGAAGGCCCTCAGAGGCCATTGCATCCAAACCCCCTCCTTCGACAGGTGAAGAAACTGAGGCCCGAAGAGAGGAGGTGACTTGCCTGAGATCCCAGAGGATTGAAGGATTTGAAACTGAGTCTTCTGACTCTGGAGTCAGTGTTCTTTCCACTGTATCCTGCTGCTTCCCTAGTCACCCAGAAGTCTATGCTCAGAATAGGATGAGGAATGACAGGGGACAGACACAGGTCCCTCGTTCTCACACTCCAGGGGGAACACAGATGACTCGGGAGGAGAGCACGATGGACAGATGTGGACGAGGCAAGTCTGCTTAGTTGAAAGGGACTTTCAAATCAGCAAGATCCCAGATCCATTTGAGTGAAAGTCATACAGGAGATGGTGGCCATGGCAGGTAATAGAGCACAAATCCCAGAGCAAGGTGTGATCCCAGAATACAAGGAGCAGAAACACCAGAGCGCAGAATGGGCAAAGAATACAGGACGAGGATGCTGTTCATAGAGGATAGAGGGCAAAAAAGAACTATTCAGACAGCTCCTACTTTGTTTTGCCAAAAGAGACTCATTTTGGGGCCACAAAGGACATAAAAAAATGGCTAATAAAGACATTAAGTCCAAGATGAGTAGGGAAAGAGTAAGAGAGCCCTGGTTGTTTTTAAGGAGTCCAAGAGACCAGGACTAACAAAATATATGCCAAGGTGCTGAAAGACCAGTGAATGTAACAGGAAAGGAAGCTAGGCCTCATACAAAGACCAGTGGACTTAGAGTCAGGAGACTCTAAGTGGTTTGAACCCTGCCTCAAAGACTCCCTCATTTGCTGTGTGACTGTACAGCAGTCATTTTGCCTCTGAGACCTCAGTTCCTTCAGCTGTAAAATGGGTCCACTTATACTGCTCACTGCACAAGTATCTTTTGAAAAAGAGCTTTTCAAACCTGAAAGTATCATGTCATTGGGAGTTGTTATTATTAAAATATGATCGTTGCATCACCACACTGATGCTTGAAAGAGCATAGCAGCTTCTTCTTTTTGTTGGTGAGGTGGACAGTTATGGATGTCGAATGTTGCGTGGACTGTTGGATGCAGTCATGCCAATTGGTTTTACTTTCCTGTGGAAGAGCGGTTAGAATTATGCAGGGCCTCAGAACAACCAGCATGGATGGAAGTTGTCAAGATACAAATTTAGAGTAAATAGAGAAAATGCTTCCTAGCAACTAGAGGCATCCAAGTAATGGTGTTTTCTCTCTTATTGGCGGTCGCCCCGCCTAAGCTGAATGACTCTTCTAGGGATGGTGTCAAAGGGATTCCAGGACAAAGAGAGGTTGGACTTCGTGGGCCCAGGGGTCCTTTCCAACTCCAAAAGTTGATGTTTCTGGGATGAGGTAGGGCAGAGTAGGCTAGACAAGAGCACAGTTAGGTGATTTCAGAAAATGACTCAATGACTGGATCTCAAAGAAGAGACCAGTGATATCTGCATGTTAGCTTAGAAAGAGGTCTCCAGGGGAGTGCCCCAGGAATCTGGGCCAGTGAACATCCTAATCAGCTACTTAGATAAAGGCCTACCTGCATATGATACGAAGCTGGGAGGGACAGCTAATGTAGTAGAAGACTAATGTCAGTAGTGAATCCAATGAGTTAGAATTCAGGAATATCTTGCCAGGCCAATATGTTGGGCCAAATGTAAGAAGATGAAATTTATTAGATATAAACAGTCATACACATAGCTTTTTAAAACGAACCGCACACGTACAAAGTGGGGCTGGCAGGGCTAGGTAACCATTCATCTGAACAAAATGTTTCCAATAGCAGTTCTCTCAGGTCCTTTCCAGCTCTGACCCCTACAGCCTGAGCTGAGTTCAGGGGCTTTACATTTTATACTGGGGAACTAGACTCAGGCAATGCTTTCATTTATTAAAGCCTTATTTATTACATATTATATTATTATATCTAAATATATTTATATAATATATATTATCTATAATTTATAATTATATTATTATAATATAATTAATATGATCATGTATTAAAGGCATATTCAAGGCATAAAGCTTCATTTAATGATTAACTTTTAAAATATATATGGAAATGTAGGCGTGAGTTATGGATTTGCTAATTAGTCTTCTCTGCAGCCAATATTAACCAGGTTTTGATTAATTGCCATGTGTTCCAGATGCTCATGGCATTGGCCCTCGTTAGCCAACACACTTAAGATACAAGAGGGAAGACAAAAGACCAGTTCTGGGCCAGACCTGACTCAAGCCCTCTGGTGTTTCAGACCCAGCATTGGAAGTTTATTAACAATCTCTTGGGAAGGATAGTCAGCAAAGACGCAGCACTGGTTCCAGGGGATGCAGCTCCCCTCATCCCCTTAGAGAGACA